GTCGCGCATCCGCTACGACCGACAGACAGACAGACGGGGTATCGGCCGACCTGGAACAGTCTCTCACGGCCAGCAGGCCAATTAACTGTTATTATCAGCCGGTTCTTGCGTGTAAACAGAGGCTGGCCTATGTGTTAGGCGCATAGACGCTCCCTTGGAACCGCTACTGTCTCTCCTGTCGGCGAGAGGATTAATTTGAGCGAGAGGATCTATTTGGTCGAGAGTGGTTCGAGGATAGCTTTGGATGGTGAATGGGATTGCAACGATCGAAACGGTGAATTTATCCCGATTTTTGAGAATATCGATGGGAGAGAAAAATTTGAGAATCTTTTGTTTGATGATGTTTGTTTGGGATATAGGTTCTTAGAATGGAATGGTTCGATAGTTTGAAAAGTGGTTCGAGGATACTGATAGATTTGAGGATCTTTGGGAAATGTTTGAAGATGTTTGAAGATGTTTGAAGATGTTTGAAGCTCTTAGAATGGAAATTTGATAATTTGGAAATCTATGAATGGTAGATAATGATTGGATCCGAATGAAGAAATTTTGAAGAACGAAGGAGAATTGATAATTAGATCTAAAATGCAAAAAAAAAAAAAAAAAAAAAAAAAAACAGTACTCGGATTGAACAACTCTTGTATCTCCTTGTTGAAGAATTGTCTAACTTGTATCGAAGACAGTGAAACCGTCTAATACAACTTTTTACAGGAGTATCGTTTTAAGAAAGAAGTTTTAGTTTCAGTAACAACGTACAAACATATGGGGATACAATGATACCGATGGATGTTTTTTTACCCACCATCTGTTCAAGCTAGTTGTCCATGCTCGTGTTGCGGATCATTGGTCTCTAACCGTTTCTTTTTATTCGATCAGCTGACCGCATTAGTGTCCACTGGAAAAGCAATTTATATGCGCTTTACGAGGACTACTTTTTCTCCCTTAGAACAATGTGATCATCGAAATAGAAGAATATCACAACTCGATCCAACCTTTTCTCTTAAATTTTGCCCTAGAGAAATGTATGACTTTTCGCAATAAAAATCAAATTACAAACCGCGCTGCTTCTAACTTCTTCTTATTCACGATCGTGCAATTTATACGAATATGATCAATGATTTCAATAAGGAATCGAAGAATCGAATTTCCTTAATTCCTAAACATTATCACTCGATCGCCACTTAAACACGTGCATTCGTTTACGAAAAATAAACTTATTCGAGATCAAAAATAAGTGAAAAATAAGAAAAGAAGACTAGGAAGAATCAAAACATTTCCTTCATTCCAAATCGCCGCCCAATTACGAAACGAAGCTTACGTAACGACGTCTATTCCAAACCAAATTACTCGTAAAAATTAACTCAAGTAACTGAAAAAAAAAAAAGAAGAAGAAAAAAGGAAAGGAGGAAGAATCGGAAGACACAAGGCCAATCACCGTCTAATAACTCTCTAGAAACGAACGCGCCTCTCCAACTACTATCGCGATGGATTACGTAATCGTCCACCTTGACAGCGATATTAGATTGAATCTATGGTACAAGGCCGTCGCCCCGGTCGTGTACTCACTCGTTATTTCATAAATATCGCCGAGATAACATCCTCCAGGAGGCCGTGAAACGTGTATATATTCGTATATACACGTAACGAACCCTGTGCTCGTGCCCCTTTTCTCTCCTCTCCCCTGCTCCCCGATTCGACCAACCAACGGTGTCGTGCGTGTAAAACGTCGTAAAAAAACTAATAGATTCGGTACCTAAGACTACGTGAATCAAACGGTCGATCGACGACCAAACGATAAATTTCCCTCGAGTTGGCCGGCTTACTAGGTTTCGAATCGAGTCGATACACAGCTTTCACCCGGCGAGTATTTAACGTTATGACCATGAGAGGAGATTTCGTGATCGAGCTGATTAATATACCTTCGAGTACTTTATTCGAGTAATTGTTAATCGTAGCGTCAAAGATTATTATTCGAAGGACAATAAGTTTATTACTATAAGTAGGTGATGAATAAATTGATCGAAGTAATTTCATTCGAAATTTTTCATTTCGAAATTGTTAGGTGATGATGTCTTGTTTTGTAATGATATTTTCGAAGAGGTTATCGTAGAAAAATAGGATTGATTAGGAGAGATATTGGGAAAATCTTTCAATAGAAGATAGTTTCAAATTTATCTTTAAACCTGATGTTTCTATAAAATTACAAAAAAAAATATTTTTAATTCCAAAATTCCTTTTTCGATTGAAGATCGAGAAAAAAAAACGATACTATTCGAATTCAAAAATATCGTGATACCATAAAGATACGAGGAGGACTATTCATCGAGTCGTAGATTAATCCATCTCATGAAAAAGATTCGCATTTAAATATTTGCATTAATATACGATACGTTAAAAAAAAAACAAAAGAAAAAAGTGTATGCGTATCTGAAATACAATTTCAAGTACATATATACATATATATGTACTTGAAATA